TTTGTGTGTGAAAGAGAGTTTATCCAAAGCTCGTTTTTTTTTTCAAGTGATAAAGAGCGAGCACAAAAAATAATAAATGAAATGTTTTTCTATTCACATACAAATCAAATAATTATTCTATACTGCTGCATATGCAAATGCCTTTGAAAATGAGAGAGAGAGAGAAAAAAAAGACAATGTAAACCTTGAATTAGATGATTGAATTTACCATTTCGTGCCACTTGCTTTGAAAATGTTCATCAAAAAGAAATTAAAACAGAAAAGTGCTTTTGGTATGTATATTTTATGTCGCTTTTGAGAGACTATAATTTGCAAAAGTTTATCTTTTGTAATTTAAATGCGATTATTTAAATCGAGGCTTGACTCACTCACATCGGTGATGAAGATGAATTGAATTTTCGAAATATATGAAAAAAGCTTTTCTTATGCTGTTTTGGATAAAATGGCATTGCACAATATTTTCTCGAAAACATAACAATCAAATTGAAATGCTTATGTTTTATTTTCATGCTCGATTTTCGGTTTATTCAGTCAGTTTCGATCACTCTTCTTTTATCCTCTATCAATTTAAAATCGCTTCACAACACTCAATTGCCAACTTGCACGAAATTCGGAAATTGGTCGCATGTGTGAACGATTGTGAGCGTGTCACCGAAAAAACACACACACACATATAAATGAAGTCAAATAAATTTTATGCAAATCACAAACCGAAATCACTAAACGAACGAACGAAAATGCTCATATACACTATGTTTTTCCACACATATTCTGTATTAAGTTTTATAAGTCATTCAAATATGAAACGTGACCTTAAAAGTCAATTTTCACAATTGTTTGATCAATAAAGACATACAAAATCGGAGCAAAAGCTTTTTTCTCTGCCTTCATAAGTTGTGAGAAGCAATCGGATGAAATGTTTCGAATTAAATTCCACTCGCTGCACACAGCAACATACATTTCCGATACATGTTTTTTTTTTGATATTCTACTCAGCTTTTTATCGATATATTTTTTATTATTCGCAATTTAATATTCTATTACATATATCTTCAAGTTTATTCTTTTTCTATTCGAGTAAAAAAAAACATTTCTCCGGGTATTTCTCTCATTCCCAATTGTACATTTGCGAGTGGCGTTGAAAACGTATTCCAATCAAATATAGTTCTGATATTTGATTTTCACTAGAAATGCATCCGAGAGTCTCTCTCTCTAGAGAAAAAGAAACTGTAAAACTGTAATGTAAAAGTATCAATTGATTCATTTATAAATGATTTGTGTTATATGTGTTCCTGTCGAATATATATTATTACGTATATGGAACTGGCTGAGGATGTTGAGTTTCGAATGCAAAAAAAGCTCACAATCTCTCGATACAACATATTCGAATAGATGATTCTGATTTAATGCATTCACGATTTGCGTACGATGTGGGCAAATTGATTATTGTGCACATAGCGGCCGCAACAGCAGCACCAACATCAACACAAATGAACTTATATTATTTTTTTTTATCGATGGAACAAAATGGGAATTATTTGCTGTATTTTTCTTTCGTGCATACATTTACAACAGCACACATAATTTGCAGTGCTTATTTTTTTTGCCCCCAAATCACAATCCATGTGTACCAGAATCGAGAGCGAGAAAATATAAAGGGAAATATTGCCGAAAATCTAGTGTATATAGTCGATCGTGAAATTTATTGGTAATATTGTGAACTGCACATTATTGGGGGCATAAAATAATATTTGATTGTCTCTGGACTTTATTTTCCGAATTGAAGCGGAAAGTGTGCTTCACAACAAATTTACTATCGTCATATCGGCTATAATTTGTGATTCGTACCAAAGTACCGAAAATGGCACAACGAATAAAATAAAAAGACACATGCGAACGATAAAATGATACAATATCCAGGCATTTTGATATGAACAGCATAGATGAAAACGTGCACGCATTTATGTCTATTAATGATTTTGACGATTGTTCAATTCTTAAATTCGTATTGTTACAAACGCGATGGAAAAATTGCATGTGTATAACTTACGAAATAGTGCGGATTTTACGAATGTAGCTCATTTAAATCAATTATATCGAATCAAAAGACACGCTTTTCGATACATTTTATTCGTTTGTTCGTTTCAGTTTAAATGAGCCGGAAATGGCTTACGGCCATTTATTTTCATCGCATAAATTTTATTCGGTGTTTGATGACAGCGAGTGCATCTCAACTAGTATTTTACAAGTTCGAATTGGATTGAACTGAAACCACATACATTAAAACGGCAAAATCTTATTTGCAATGTGTTTAAATATTTGGCTAAGACTTTTGTGGTATGTTTTCACTAATGTGCGTCACCGCTGCTACAACCACCATTGCCATTATTTTCTGTTCCACATTAACGAGATATTTATTTAGTTATGGCGCCGTAGAGTACGCATTCACACTTACATCCACATATATTTTACTTATTAACTTTCACGTTGATATAATCTAATTAGGGAGTAAACTTCATTTTTAATCGAATCACCATTTTCAAAAGCCAATATTGTGAAGTGTGAACACACAACGGAAATAATTGCGAGAAGGACAAGAAAATACCAACACCTTAACAATTGTTGGTTTATTATTATTATTATTTTTTTTCTTCTTTTTTTTCATTGTGTTTCATTCAGTTGTTTTACTTGACGATGCGCATCAACTGAAAATATGTACAAGCTTAAGGCTGAAAAAAATTATCGAAAAAAAAACCAACAACAGCAACATTGTTCATTGTACTTAACACTCACACACTCTTTATTAATTATGACCCGAAAAATTAATCATGATTTCATTGATTAACTATTATCGCCTAGGTCAATCATTAAACGTGATTAGGAAAACCGAATAAAAAGCTATATAGTGAATTAAAAGAAAATAAAACTGTTTATTTCTATACTAAACAGTTGGCTGTGTACAATATTGATATGCTCATTAGAATTCATTGAACAAGAGTCATCTAAAAATCAAAAATGTTACTTCGAAAAAATAAGTGGATATTCGAAATGGATCGATGAAACCTCGTGCACACGATAAATATTACAAAATACCAAATAATACGTGTGTGATAATGATATTTGAGGTCGCCTTAATTATGGTTATTTTTATTTAAAAAAAATTCATTTCCTATTTCATTCTATTCATCGCGATTTTCCTTATAATAGTACCTATGATGATGTACAAGTAAATTGGTATATACTTTACATGTTGCTGGGATGAAGGGCTGTAAAATTACACATTTCTTTGCACAACACATTGGGATAAAATGGGAAAAATTGAATATTCATTTTTCTCTTACAAAACGAGTGCATTTTCGGGGACGAAATTTTCTTTACAAACTACAACCAGGCCAACAAAAGCGATAAAAAAAACACACGCACAGAATGTTCAATATAAGATTCTAGATGATTATATTGTTTGTCTAAATGGGGCGTTATCCGAAAGCGATTCAATTTTTTTTCGACACGTACTCGGGGGGGATTTTTGTTCTAGTGGTTTATTTTCCTTTTTTTTGATTGGTATTTATATTTAAGTAAACGCTTCACAATTCAAAACAATATCAAAGGTGCAAATTTCAACAAAGAAAAATTTGAGGGAGCAACGAAAACTCAAACGAAAAATAAAAATGAAACGATCAAAGAATAGAGTGATACATGGGCCGAATTGAATCACTCCAAGTGCAAACAAAGAGATTTTATTCATTGAGTTCTTTTGATCGATGTTCGGAAAATACGAAACTATCTGAAATGTATCGGATTTTCCTGGAAAATTTAGCAGATTTTCGGTTATTTTCTAAACATCAAACAATAAGTTTGCTTGTCCCACTGTTGAACGTGCAGTGCGTTTTCCATTCCACTTATATCACTCATACTCTTCGATCAATAAAATACGGTTTGTTGTTCTGTTTTTTGGCATTCAGGATTGCGTGTGGAAGTAGACCAACTTAAAATTCTTAAACACAAACCAAAGTTTTGGAATTGAAACTCAACGTTTGAAAAAACAAAACAAATAAACGCAAAGGAAATAAAATCGGTCGTAAAACAATTGAAGAGAACAAATGATGAAAAGCTTCTCCAATGTTTTCAAATCAAAGTAAGATATACAGAAGATAGAAAAAAAAGAATGGAGCATTTGAAACCGAGCTAAATCATAATTTACTCAAGTGAAATCAAGAAGACAAAGAACAAAGAAAAATTCATGGCAACTTAAGAGCGAGAATTAAACGAAAAATAAAATGTGTTTCTCTAACAACCATCATCGACTTCTCAAGAAATAACAATAAATTTTACCATAAAATATTTCAAAGTAAAAATCTCTTAAGACATTAAAATGCAACCATATTCACGACTCACAAATTTCGAGAAAAACATTTTCGCGCAGAAGATAGAGAATTCCACAGAGGAAATTTACAGAAATTCTTTCCGTCGTTTCCTCTGTTGTATGTTGCGTGAAAACGTTCGTTAATATGTTTAAGAATCGAATCTTGGAAGTCGAAGATGGCGGTTCTTGTTTTGTTTGAAAAACGACGAAATTAAAATAAATTGCAAAATTTCGAGTTTTTCGTCCTTGATCAAGTTGAATCGAAAAATAAAATGATAATATTTCGAATAAAACCGAAAAATTAACAAAGAAGAAAGTAAACAAACTGAAAATGACAACAAGTAACCAATGAATGTGTATTTAAGATTTGATCATGGACTAATGTTCCACTATCAACGACATCTCGATGACACAAATTATGAACTGAAACCCGGCCGATCATTTTTATTTTAAATCATCAAATGCTGAAGTTAAAAGCTGCACTTTTTTTTCTCTGAATTCAATTTATGGCAAGTTTTCGTAGACTTCATAATTTTGTCATCGCGTGCTTTGATCGTGAAATGAAAATTTAAACCAAACAAAATAAAGAAAAATGCAAAAATAAATGAATAAAATGCTTGTCGCCGTGTCTTCTTACCTTCGTAATTAACTTGACCGTCACCGTCGATATCAGCCTCACGGATCATTTCGTCGACTTCTTCGTCTGTTAACTTTTCACCCAAATTCGTCATGACGTGACGCAATTCAGCAGCCGAAATAAAACCGTTACCATCCTTATCGAACACCCGGAAAGCTTCTCGGATTTCTTCTTCGCTATCCGTATCTTTCATTTTACGAGCCATCATCGTTAAGAATTCGGGAAAATCAATTGTTCCATTGCCTGAAAATTGTGAATCGAAGACAGAAAAGAAAGAGAAAATAAATTCAAAATCAAATACATTTATGTTGAATTGAGAAAAAAATAAATGGAGGAAATCGATTAGTTGTAATTTTATTTTATTTAATTGTTTTATTAGCATGAATTTGTGTCGGCATTATCGAGTAAAATCCGATTATATAAAAAATCTCACTGTGGCAAATCAACCGAAATGCATATTTCAAAATTGGCTTTTAGCGAATGAAATGAAGAGAGCGAGAGCGACGAATTGAGAGAAAAGACTTAAAAAGAAACAAAAAAATTCAATCAATCTTTTGTACAGGGTCACATGGTGTGGAGGTCGCCTTTAAATTAGATTACAAAATCGGAAAGAAAAAAAAATCAGTGCAAAATAGAAAATACAAACGAATAAAAGCGAAAGAGAGTGAGCTGATTTCATATCGAACGTTGCGAACATAAAGAAAATTTACTCGAATTATTAGTTCTATTTTTTTTCTCGCATATTTATTCGAGAACAAACAGTTCAAAAATATGATTCGTGCTAAACTTATTTATTGCCCGTTAATTCGGCCGATTATAGAAACACGTTTCGAAGCGGCTGCATGCTTTCGTTTTGCTCTTTATTTCTCACTCTCTTGCACACCCAAATCCATTTGTGCTGCATCTCTTTTGATCGTATACGATTTCCTAAGCGCGCACACACACACACATCAACGGGATAATGATTTCGAGCAATTGCGAATCGTTAACCGTAAAATTGTATCACAATGTGGCGAACAGAACAGAAAAGAAGAGAACATTTATTATGCGAAATATATAATTTGTTCATTTTCAGAAGATTAATGCCGAAGAAAGAGGGAGATAAACTTCGATGAATAAAGAAAAGAGCATTCCAAAAATGTTCGCCACTTTCAATTGGAAATGAATAAACGGATACGTACACAAGATGTTAATCGGTGAGTATCAATTTTCAAACATGGTGGATTTCAATGTGTGTTTGTTGATTTGCTATGTTAACGGATGCTCGTCCATTGTCTTTATCGTCAATCATTAGAAACGATACGTTAATTGCTTCGTTTTGATTTTGTTTTTGCCCATTTGTTATTGTGCTTTGCTTCGACGAATTGTTTGTGCTGTATATATACAATTGACGTCACATACATCACAATGTGTCATTCATGTTTCATTGGAATTTAGCATTTATTTGGCTGCTGATTTTATATATCGTTGCGCAACTGAAAACGATGTATTCCGCAAATTTTGGAAATAAATTAAGTTCAAATTAGAAGTAATTGGAACTTTTTGGTGTTTTTCCCCTGTTTATTTTCTCGCTGGAAATATTGAATACAAGATACTAATGAATAGAATCGACGAGATTCATTTTCATACAAATAAATATCAAATGGACGATGTAGTTGATGTAAACATTTGTGAGTTTTATCGTTGCTGTTGTCGTCATTTGGTCGACAATTTGCAGAGAGAAAGAGCAAGCAAATTACCATTACGTTACTGTTCTAACTAATCAGTTGTATACGTTTTGTAATGGTAAAGCGCCAATATGGTATGTCCTATATTCCGTAAGCGTGAGCAGTGCACAAATCACTGGACTTTGGTGAAAACGCTTGGGAATTTATTCTTGTTCGTCTTCTGGCATGAAAATCTGCGTTTTTAGCATGAAAATATGAATGTGTTTGTGGTTTTTTCACGGTGGTCTATCCATAGTTCATTTCGCTTGCGCAAAACAGGCTGAGAATATTGTGGAAAAAGGAGTCCATAATGAGATTGCGTTCATAATGTGTGCTGGACATGGGATTGCATGTTAGATAGCCATATTTATTCTGATTGCGTGTGTGCCACGGTGATTTGGTGGTGATTGGGGCGTTGTTTACGTTCTCCATTTGGTGATAAGTTTTATTTTTTGCTTTCATTCAATCTGTCATTCTCTCTGCGCTTTTTGTGATGTTTTTGTGTAGGGAAACACAAAGAAAATCACTATTTTTACCAAATTATTTAAAACCATACATAACCATAAATGTAAATTGTCGCTTTTATAAACATTATGTCATAAGTAATTGAGGAAAAAAAGGAATACAAAGACAAAGCCGTACTAAATAGCTCATCCGAAGAAATTCACACCGACGAATTTGTCCGAAAAAAGGCCCTGAATAGTCTCGAAACGGCGGCAATAGCCTCGCAACAAATCGATAAACACATATGTTTCAAATTTTCCAAATGTGCCGTCCGTTCCATTTACATTACATTTACCTCAAATCGAAAGAAAAAACAAAATGTACTACACACCCAAATCAAATGAGCTGCACACACAATTCATTATCCAAACAATTTGTTCAAAACGAAAAAAAAAACTTTCGTAATTGGAGCTTTATTAATCGATTGAAAAGTAAGAATATACATACGGTCAACAGCACCACCGACGCATTGAGTCGCACAAGCAATTGAGAGGATCGAAATAAAAGCACAAGCACAATACAATGTCTGAGTATTGGTTCCGAACATAAAATTTTAAGCCTTGATTCCATTCTGTACCGCTTGGGACTAATGGGTTAATGAGGAACTCATATGAATTGAAGGATTTTTTTATGCATGTTCACAATTGTTCGATGTAAGTGGGAGTTCCGCAACGGAATAGCCCCAGAAAAAATCTATTACAAAAAAAACCTCGAACAAATCACCGCGGAATTATGGCTTGGAATAGAGTGCTGGCAGCGATTTATACGTAAATGCTTCAAAGAAAAATGTACTTGGTTTGAAAAAAATCAATGCTGTTTCATTATTGAAGAAAAAAAAATCCACCAAAATTGAAAAATAACTTCATTTTATTCCATCTATCGATATAATTTTTAATCGATTATGAAAATTATGGTATTATGCGGATGTGTTCGAAAATATAAATGTTTGTCTCTGTTGATTACACATGAGTAAGTATATGAATTAAATTCTACTTTCGAGGTAATGTTACTTTTTAGCCACTTGCGTGAATACGAGCAGATATTGTGTACCACACCCACGTTTTAAAAGCATTTTCCAAGCCGCAGAGGTGAGCTCAATGGTTTTCGTTCCAATTTTTTTTTGTGTTTTTTTTCTGTTATTAATAACTCAGATACACAAAAATGAAAATAACAGGAAAGAAAAACAAATCCATTTAATTGCGGATACGCAAAGAAGAGGTTGTTTTGCTTCTCAGCCCTCAAAATGTTCAATGTTAAAACGGAAATCAATACTCTTGCCAATGATTGACACGTACATATACAATCATTTTTGTTTAGAGGGATGGGTGATTGGACACAAAAAAATCTACTTACCGTCGGCATCGACTTCATTTATCATGTCTTGCAGCTCAGCTTCTGTTGGATTTTGGCCTAGTGATCGCATAACTGTGCCCAATTCTTTTGTTGTGATGGTACCATCGCCATCCTTGTCGAAAAGTGAGAATGCCTCTTTGAATTCAGCAATTTGTTCTTCTGTTAATTGGTCAGCCTAAAATGAAAAAAAAGTATAAAAAACATTAAATTAAATGCTTGTCAATGGTACACAAACAAAAGGTAAAAAAAAAAACACCCAACAAACGCTTGAAAAAAAAAGATAATGGATAAAATTATGTGCAAGTTCCTGTAGCAAACAGCAGTATTGTGACGACAGCTTCAAATTCATTGCCTTTATATGGTTTGCTTTTTGTTCTTCATTCGTTTCGTGAAGCAGTTTTTTTTTGTTTACAATTCACGACAAAGCGTGATATCGCCTAAATAACTGTTAAAAAAGTTTTTGTCACTTGTGCAATTCACTTCATTGGAGATGTCACTACCAAAGGGAAATGTTCGCGTTTTTTTACCATTCATTCTTCTCTGTTTCTTTCATTTTATTGCTTTGCATGCGATCGTAAAAAACATTCCTCTCTGCTTTTTTTTGTATTCGGTTTCATTCTATTTTACTTTTTTTTTTTTCAGTACTGTCATTCGCCAGTATTTTCTCTGGCTCTATTAAATCATCAAACAAAGACGGGTGTTTTTCACTCTCACTCCACAATTCATAGAAATTGCATGCTAACACATAATCATCATTTGCGATTATCGCACATACAATTTTACTCGGTTTGAAAACTGATGACTTTGATTTCAAATGTGTGCGCAGTTTGATATGGTGGCTAATATCATTTTCGTTGTGTGTGTTTTTTTCTTCTTCTGTGGGATATGTTTGAGCTGTCACTTTTGTGTTGCGAAAAACATTGCGCGCAATGTTCGAAAGAATTTTTGAGGCACACACATTTACACCCACATACACTTCACATCAAAATGATTTTTCAGCGATGAAGTTTTCTATGAATATGACTGTGCAAGGTCGTCCAGTTTTTAAAATATACAAAAAGCTCCTCTCTCGCTTTTCTCTTTCGATAAGCTTCTTTTTTTAATAATCGAAATAAAAACATACGAATTTATGTATTTATCATTGAATGCCATCGATGATATGGGTATTGAACAAATTGGTTTTATATTTATTATGACGACACAGTCTTTTTGATTCGAATAGTTTTTCGTTTGATTTCAAACAAGACGAATGAACAACAAGTTCGAATTTTTTACGAATCGATCCATTTTGTGCGGTCACATTTATGTATCGTTTTCTCCAATTTTTTTTCTCATTCTGTTCGCTTTTTTTACGTATCCGCACCCTTTCAAAACAACAAATAGAAATGTGTGACGCATTCAATTGAAAAGCTGATCAAAGTTCAGGGAAAACGATGGTATGTGCGCTGGATGGAGAGAGTGACATTTTTTTTGACACTTGCGTCAAATTGCTAAAGCCTTCGATAAGGAACTTTTCACAGAACTATAATGTGACTAAATATGATTCTTTAGAAAGAAAGGACCTTCACCCCCATATCACCGTCACTACAAATAACTGTGGTCGATTTTCGTTTTTCGGCAATGTATATTTATTCTGAATGTAACCTTCGGACCAGCATTCAAATACCGTGCAACAGAAACACAGAAAAACATATGCAACGATCTCAAATAAAATACAACAAGAAAATGTCGAGTATATCTCAATGACAAGTCGATAATAAAAATGTGTGATGTCTTGTATTTCTTCACATGGAATCATGTATGCAATTCAATCGAATTGGTATCAGTGAAAAAAAAATTACGCTCAAATCGATTCCTATTAGTCTTCCAAAGTCATGTTTTTTTTTTTCTCTTTACTCATGTTTTGCTTCTAGTTTCCAGACAAATACACTGAATGAAAAATGCAGGCAAAAATAGTTGCTAATCAAAAATGAGAAATGGTTACGATGGCAGATAAAAAGAGAGAAAATGAACGAATTTTATCGTGTATTCTACCGTTCATTTTCAATTTTACAGGCAGAAAAGTCGCCAAAAAATCTATTAGTAAAAAGGCGATGAGAAATGAAAGCCGTCATGAAGTGAATTATTGAGATGGGCGATGAAAAAAGTTTTATTGACGTATTTTTTTTTTCGATTTGAAATGAAGTAGAAAGTTTCGTCATGTAATTCAAATAAAGTTTAAAATAATCGAATCCAAATCGATGAATTCACAAGATGGCAATTTATCGCACTTTTTTCTTTATCTGTCATTTTAATATTACTTTGATGTTTTTCCTTCTTTTAAGAAAATGTTCGTTTTTTTTCTCTCTCACTAGAAAATGAGATAATTTTGTAATTGCATCACATTCTTCTAATTAGTCGTTGCGTTTTATTGCCAATGGCACAACGTGCTTTTTTTTGCATATCAAAGGCGTTTCAAAACATTAAAAAGGAATGAAAAAAAAGACGGAAAAATACACAGACTAATCGATCGATCAAATGAAATTGGTTACGTTTTTAATTAAGGCAACAAATGGACCAAATTATAAACGGTACAAATGTTCAAACGTACACAGCAGGGCGACTTGCTAATTTCTTCTATGTAATTTTCTAAATCGAATGACGAACGGTGTTTAGAAAATGAGATGTGTTTGTTTATATATATATATATGTGTGTGTGTGTGCAATGTGAAAATTATCACAAACAAAATTTAATTACGATACACGATTTCCAATGTTTAACGGAAATAATTGATTCAGTGTTACAATGTCACAAGAGTGAATGAAAAAAAAATTGACAAACCATTCACGTCAATGTGAGTGAATGCGTGCTGAATTCTCGACAGAGACGAGAAGAGATTGAGTCAAGTAATCGGGTAAACAATTCGCCAGCTATTTATCACCTTGTAATAGAGAAGAGAGGCCGACAGCGGCAATTGATATGACATTATGGAAATCAGTGTCGCTTCGTCGTTGTTGTTGTATTCTTTGCTCTATCGTTCTTCAAAAAAAATCTTGTTCTCTCATGATAGAGAATATGAGATGTATACAATGCTGCCTACGTGTATTTATGCTTTGTTTCATCCATTTGAAAATGGATAACAATGTTAACGATATCACATGGCGACACTGAGATTCACAAAATCACAACCAAATGAAATGTGATTTTGCTAGTTATCATTGCACTTGAGTGCGCACACATTCAACCAATCATTTTTTCTATGCATAAAGTGCGCGAGCACACACACACACACACACGGCTTATTTTCTATTCTCCCACAAATGGAATTTTAACAAACGTTAACCAATACGCCTCAGTCTCTTTAGAGATACAGACGAAAGAAAGAGAGTTAAAGAATAGAGAAAAAAAAAGTTGAAACATGAAACAAAAACCTGTGTTTGCATTCTCGTTGTTTTTCCCCTCAACTTTTCAAAGCTTTTAGTGAGTTTCTCTTTTCAAAGTGCCCACATATCCTGAAATAGTCGATTACAATTTCGTATTCATAACTTTTTAATAACCACATTATATATTATATATGCGTATCTATATAACGGGGCAACCATGAATACTTGCGTGCATACTTTGCAATTCATTTACATGGACATACAAATGCAGCGTTTTTTTTTAAATGTTGAAATTGATATAATTTACGCCAAACGTTGTTGGTTAATATATTTCGTTTTGTTTCCCATATGCTGTCGCCACCATCGTTCATCGATGTTGTGGCCCGATTTTTGTTGTTGTTGTCTTCTTTTTCATTCTGATCTTTTTTCAATGGCATCATTTAAAACGCTCACACATTTAACGAAAATTTTCTGTTCAATTGTGATGAATGACAGAAAAGTGGCTGGGCTATATTAGCTTCGATTGAGATCGCGCACGTTTTGTCAATATTAATTTCGATACGGTGTTGAAAATGGATTTTATGCATATTAAATTTCAATTGAAAGTGGCGTTGATTGGATTAATAGCGGTCACAGTCACATTTCGATATTCATTCATACGCAAAACGTTTATATGCATTTTTGTGTGTGTGTGTGTCATGTCAAGAATGACTTTCAATTATATTTTTATTAAAATGACATCAAAATCATTTTACAAATTGAATTTTGATCACACACAAACTCTCTCTCTCTTCGGCACAGTTGTACCGCTTCATCTGGCCACAACATTCATTCATTTCAATGTGAATTGTACAAAAACATAACATGTTTTTGATGATCGAACAAGAGAGCGAACGAAAAAAAAAAACACACGAAATCTCACCGTAATCATATTTTATTTTTAATTGAATTTCAATGGTGAATATAAAATAAACAATTTTTCGTTTTGATTCGATTTTGTGAAACCAATTAAAAGCATTTGCTGAAATGATTTTAAAATCAATAATGTGCCACCGAATTGGACGTTAATTAAATCGTATAAATATATAGATTTTTGTGACCAAAATTGACGAAAAACGCCTTGGACATGTGGTTGGTGCGTGTGGTGTTTTTTTAATCGCTGTATTTGTGTGCGCTGCGAATTAAAATCCATTCAGTTTTGCAACATGCTTTGTTGTGACGTTTCTTCCAAGCTAAACACCTAAATAGGTTGCAAACACGCCAATATGGCAACAGTATTGCGCAATTCGCACAGCAGCAACAACAGAACAATCAGAAGCAGTAGCAGCAATGCTACATTCACTACAAAAACAAAAACACCAATCTCTCACCGTCTTGTCATTCAAAACTTGTGTTGTTGTTGTTGCTATTTTTCCGTCTCATGTTCAGTTCCCTTCTAGAGCCGAGAGATGCATATACATGCATATGTGAGTGACTATACATGCACCCGTCAACTCGAATCGAACGATCGGTCCAAACTGACCATGAGTGAAATAATGTTTTATGAATTGTTAATTTTGTAAAATAATGCTCTTTTTTTTAAATCGTTTTACTATTTCTCTTGCTCGTTTTGCCCGCAGACTGAAGGAATGAAAATCAATTATAAGATTGATATCCTTCAACTTGGAAACTTTGTACATTATTCAAATATGCGAACCAACAACAACAAATATAATGTGAAATAAATATTTTGTATCGAGTGCAGGCCGATATGTCATGACTCATCTTTCGCGTGTCAGCAATGTGCGGTCATTAATTGATGTGGTTGTTTAC